TAACCAATTATTCCTCTATACTTTGAAATATGCATTTGTCTGGATAAGAAGAGCTAGTCATTATACTTATTGTATCATTGATTTCTCCAAAGAAAGAAGAATTTTCCCTTCAATAGTTATTCAAAAATTGGAACTATTCCTATTTTCTAGAAAGGAAATGTTATCAGTATTATACATGTGAATGAATGCATATGTGTGACTCTAAACAAATACCCAGAAAAACACATGTGGAGTTGGTATGAACCCAGCAGTATCAGACACCGCTAGCATATTTCCTCCCAGCTACACTTTTCTCTCCTTTCTCCTCTGTGGTGTTTTCCCTGGGCAGACTCAGCATCAGCCTCTCAGGCATCTTAGCAGAGGCTGCTGGGAATGAGAGAGTCTGGACCAAGAAGGACCAAGGCTGACAGAGTGAATGGAACTCAGACTCTCCCCTCAGGGGAAGGGAGCATCACCTGAAATGATAAAGACCCAAAGAAAGGAAAATATTTTTCAAGGCTTTGGCTGTAGCCTCCTACCTGTAGCCTCTTCACTGCCTGGTTACTTCTCGGTGGACATCTCCTCGACAACTACATGGACTTCTGTAGGCTTCACTATCTGCCCTTTATAAATCAAGGATTTACATGATATGATCTCATATACCTTCCAGCACTTACATTCTATATATCTGGGACTTCCTGAGATTAAGAGAATTTCTTTTCAGTACATAAACTAAAATTTTCCTTTCAATAAATGTATAATGCTCAAAACTTCCTTAAAAAATCTAGAGATTTCTAACCTTTGATGTTATGTTTCTCCTAAAAATAAAAAAGTACTATTAAAAATATAAAAGAAGTTATCTAACATGAATACAAGCAAGTAGTCAAGAGATGTGCCACCCTGCCAAACAGAACCTCAGGAAATCCAACCTACGTAGCATAAAGGAAACTTTAAGATGACTTTACACAGACTCATTCCTCTTGTCACAGATCCAGGAGCTTGCTGTGGATCACTCATTCTGGAAGGTGTTTTCATAGACATCGAATAAACTGTCTCTCAGAACTGACTTAATTGCCACGTCTTCACCAATTATCTGGCAGACACTGTTTGGTCTAGGAAAATGCACTTTGAACTTGGCAAAAGGCACAACTACNTCAAAATGCTTTTACACTGTTGGTGAAAGCAGCCAGATGCATTTATACATAGAAAGACACTGCATTTGCTTCCGTTATGCGTCCCTGTTTTCATTTTTAGAAGTTTTAGAGTTCAGAGTGCATGCCAGTTTAGTTGACTGCTGTTGTTGACGCTATGAATTCAAGGACTGTTAAGTCAGATTTTCTCCTGACAGTCATTTGTTTCTTAGCCTTGATTAGTCACTAATTCTGAAACTCTCTCATGGTGAACCCCCACTTGTATATTCTGGTTACCTCCATAAACTCCACCACTTCCAGACACTGCTCTGTGAAGGGTTTGATCTTTGAGTGCCATATGTGAGCGGTGCCCAAAAGCATTTTTAGGTACTACGAAAACTGAGGTCATTTTTTTTCTCATTCTAACTGGCATTTTACCTTGACATTTTTTAATGTTTCCAATTCCTTCATGTTTGCCTCTCTCTTCCTTATGATGCTGAATCCTCTTGATGAAAGTGAAATGTACAGATAATGTATACAGTAACATTTCCAGGCCCACATCAATGAACTGTATCAGTTTTTCTTTTCATTTCCTAAAATAAAGGATAGAGTCATTATTGAGGGTAGGATAATCTATCCTAGAGACTCCAGACTAATATACAAGTCCCTAAACACCTAAATTAGTATCATTTATTATTAACCACAACTCCAGTAATCCTTCCACCAATGCCATGAAGTAAATGACTGACTGAACAGATGAAGATTGAACTGTGTCCTCTGAAGTGAGGACCCGAACACCGATGAACCGAGAAGCAAAGCAAATTCCAAAAGAAGGACCTTTCTCCAGGAGAAATAGCAGTTGCTAGAATACCTGAGAGTTGGAGCCCAGAAATGACTGGTTACACCCTCCACCAGGTGGGAGAAATGTTTTTCTCTTGACCAAGTCCCACCATGTCTTCAATTCAGACTCTCTGAAAGATGAAACGGGAACTTTCAGGGATGAAGGAAGGAAGGGGGGCAGTGTTGGGAAGAAGGGAAGAGGTGAAAGAACATCCTGGAATACTTAGCATACCAGCAGAAAAGGAAGTTGAATAAAACTACCCTAAAATATCTGACACTCTGTTTACTCCCACTCCTTCCCCTGCTTATCTCTCACTCCCACCCAGTCACTTTATGTAACAGCTATATTCCAGCAGTCTTGCCACACAGGACAGTATTGTAATCCTTGTGAGAAACTTTAGGGGACTCAGAGGTGAACCCAGGACTCCTGGATGTAGTGTTTAGTGTCAGCACCTGGAAGGGAAAGCAGACCAGAGTTCAAGATGCTCTGAGAGAATCGCTATGGCTCTAGAGCTCTGCGAAATGGAAGCCAAGGGTCCACCAAATAGATCATATAGAGCTACCTGACAACCCCAGCCGGTCCAAATGTTCACTCCTCTTGTAACGTCATGAGGGTTCCATNAGAGTTCAGTTTTCCCAAAACATAGCCAAGAATGATACTGATTGAATCAGTGGAGAGTTCTGGTCAAAATACAAATAAATAGTTAATGTGGAGGGCATTCTACTTGACTGCAACACGTGGAGCTTCTCATATTGTAGAATAATATGGAAACTTCTCAAAATCATATCTAGCGCATGTGTGCTTTTTCCTAGGATGCCAGAACATGACTTTCACCAGATTCTCGAATGAGTTCATCACCCAAAATAGGTCACTGCTAGGGGGAGTTTGGGCGCCCTCCTGACCACCTTGGCAATGCCTCCGTGTGGACCAGGAAACCTGATGTCTTCTGACCCAACCTGGGCAAACCTGAGACTCTTCACCTTTGTCCAGTCTCCATCCAGCCATGCAGTGACTCTAGGGATGAGCCTGCTTTTCTATTTATGTCTTTATTTTACAGTTTTATCATTAGTTTCTATGCAGTTTAAATCTACATTGTCAAATTTAAAGGTCCCTGAATTTTCATCCTCCCAACACTTTCCTCTCTTCATCTTCTTCCTGATGACTTTTCTAGTCCCTTCTTAAAGATTGCTTCTTTATGCTCATCATATAGGTAGAATGTTTCAGATAGTCTGAACAGGTCTGCAACAGGTCCCCAAAGAAAACTGGCTTTCAGATAGGACAAGAACTGAACTTGGGAACTTCAATTTCATTTTCATTCCAACCATCATTTATTTAAAAATATGTCTCCTTAGAAGGAATCCTGGTAAGCCAACTAGTGTCACACCAATTTTTGAATCTTTGGTTTTCTTTCCTGGGAGGGGGAGAGGTTTGAGCATCACTACGTTCAAATTTAAGAACTTAAACTTGTAAAAGAGAAGGAGGCATCCATCTGAGAGATGGGAGAAGAACCACAGAAAGAGAATGAGGTCAAGGACAGGGTGAGTCACCAAAGGGTTAGTCCTTAGATATATCCTGGGATGTGGCCATGTGAGAGCGCTTTCCTGGAGAGACGGGACGGAAGTCAGCGTGCAGTGGGTTGAAGGGTGAG